AGGCACACCACACAATTCTTTCAGTGAAACACAGGAAAATCTATAAAATTAAGAATGTATGTACCACCTTACTTAGCAACTCTACTTGAGTGGTGTTCACTTCAGCGCTGCCCAGAAATGCTCACACTATGAAACACTCGCACGAGAATTTTTTTTTAAAGATAACTTAATAGGGACTAACAGACACCTAGAAAACTAATGTAACAGTGGTTAACTTGGGAGACACAGGGTATTTTTCACTTTTATTTTATTTAGTGTGTATGTATTGCTTTTTAGTTTAAAAGAAAATAAGCTATTTACCTATTAGAGTGGCCAAAATCCAAAACACTGACCATACCAAATTCTGGCAAGGATGGGAAGCAACAGGAATTCTCATTCATTGCTGGCAGGAATATAAAATGATAAAGCTACTTGAGAAGACAATTTTGCAATTTCTTACAGAACTAAATGTACTCTTACCATACAGTCCATCAACCCTGCTCTTGTTATTTACCCAAAAGAGGTGAAAACTTATGTCCACATAAAAACTTGCATGCAGATGTTTATAGCAGCTTTATTCATAATTGCCAAAACTTAGAAGCACCCAAGAAATTCTCCTCTGGAGCCTGGATAAGCAAACTGTGGTGCCGGACAGAGCAATGCCCATCATCACTACTGGAAATGAGCCGCGCAGCCATGAAGACGTGGAGGGACCTCACGCGTCCATTACTACTGTCAAAGCCAGTCTCAACAGGCCACACACACTGTAGGGTCTCGACTACACGACATCCTGGAGGAGGCGGCACTATGGCGGCAGTAGGAAGATCAGTGGTTGCCAAGAATCCAGGAGCCGAGAGGGACGCAGAGGCAGCGCACAGAGGATGTTCAGGGCAGGAAGAAAGCTCAGCGCGGTACTGAAACGGTGGACACACTCCATCCCACGTGTGTCCGGACCCACAGGACGTACAACAAAAGATGGGCCCTAATGTAGGCTAGGGACTTCGGGCGATAAGGGTGTGCCAGTGTAGGTTCAACGGCTGTGACAGACGTACCACCCTGGGAAGGGATGTTTACAGTTGTGTGGGGGTGAAGAGTTGTGTGGGGGCCGGGTGGGGGTTAGGGGGACAGGAACATAAGGGAAATCTCTGTACTTTCTGCTCACTTTGGCTGTGAACCTAACTGTGCTCCAAAAATTAAACCTATTAAAAAAAAATCTATTTGCCCTTGGCCTATGAACTCTATTTCTAGGGATTTATCCTAAAGAAATAAGAATGTTCATTACAGCTTTTTAAAAAAGAGTTTTAAAAAGAACTGAAAGGTTTCGAGTATCTACCAATTAGAGAATTTTGTTTAAAAAAAAAGACTAAATCATGGTGCACTCATACTTGTTAGTTAAAAAGTAGGTAATTGTAAATGCACTGAGATAGAACAAAGTCCCACATATACTTTTAAAAATTCTCCCCAGATACAGTGTTAAGCACAAATTGCTGAACAGGTCATATTTTGTGATAAAAAGTACATATTAATATGTATAAAAATATTAGGAAAAGCATATATATTGTAAATAGTGACTAGAGAGGGCTTTAACTATGTTATATATTCTATGTTGTTTGAAACTTCTACAAGAGTTACTTTTATAACCACAAAATAATTTTGTGAACTTGCAGTAATCCTGAAAGGCAGAGCTACAGAGATACTTCAGAAAGAAACCAGCACAGGAAAAGCCAGGGGTCCACAGACATCCTTACACATGGGGTAGCTGCTATAAACCTGAACTTGATCCAAATCTATTTCTACGCCAAGTTAGAATCACTGTGGCAGCCATGACTTCCACATTCTTTCAAAATAAAGCAAGTAGAAAAGATTTTTTTTTTTTGCCTATATACAGAGTGCAGGTGGTGGGGTCAATGAGGAAATGACAGATGTGCACAAAAGACAAACACCATATATCTGTTTGCATCAACATTTTAATGCCTAACTACAATTAGACTAGTAGTCAATGATGTGATTCCCAAAGCTGCACAGACCGGCACCTACTAGGAGGAACCCAACTCACATTAGGAGCCACATATGATCATAGTCTCGCACCTGAGCAGTTAGGCAAATTCCCATCGACCCACAATTCCATTCCTAGGGATGCTTCTTAAGAACAAACACCAAGAAAACAAAAACAAAAGAGGACAAAGCTCCATGATTCAGTCTTTTACTGCATCTTTCTTTTAAAATAGCAACAGATCAGAAACAACCTAAATCTTCAATAGAAGAATGGTTAAATACACCGATATATCTACATGACGGGATATTGCATGGTTATTTAGCACATTTCCAAAAGGTTTTAACAATGTGGGAAACGCTTAGGTCAGTGTTCAGGAACATGACTCATGGACATATACAGCCACATGTATGAAAATACCATCATCTCACTTACATATATACGCATAGAGAGAAAAAGGATTGGGGGGGGAAAAATCCCAAAATGTTTAACAGAGTTCTCTCTGGGTAATGGAATAATGAGTGAACTTTTCTGAGTCTTCTGAACTTTCAACAAGATATAAATGTTCCTTTTAGATTGGTTTTAAAAGTATAAAATTTTAACCAGTAGTGGTAGGGCTTCTTTTTTTTAATTTTTTAAATTAAGGTATCACTGATATACAATTTTATGAAGATTTCACATAAGCAACATTGTGGTCACTACATTCACCCATATTATCAAGACCCCCCACCCCCACCCCCCACCACAGTCACTGTCCATCACCGTAGCAAGATGCCACAGAGTTACCCCTTGCCTTCTTATGGCAGGGCTTCTTTTAAACAGCAATTTATTTTAGGCAGTATCATTATTTAAAAATCGATTAACTTTTCATATTCTGCTCTTTCCTTCTAGGTCTAGGAAAAATAAGATAATAAATTTTGACTTCAAAGATGCCAACAGGTAACACAATTGCAAAAGGCGCTCACACAACCTTGAACTGCAATAACAGAGGGCGGTAGCTGGAGGCAGAGAGGACTGAGACAACGGACTCAGCGTAGGAGAGGCGGCTGGAGCATTATCCAGAGGGAAGAGCCACAGACCTGGGCACCACGGCTGGCTCCAGCACTTACTTTCTGGGCTAGTTCCGCACCTCTCGGAGCTGTGGAACGCCATCTGCCAAACCGGCAAAAGCTTCCTCTGGGTCACTGGGAAGAGGGAGTGCTGTGGCAGCACAGAAAGCAGCTTCTTCCAGTGCTTGGCAGAGCGGCCCAACGAACACTCACTATTCTTGGCCCTCAGTTCTGAGCAGCATAATGCACTGGGCCTGTGACCAAAGGGAGCGGTTGCAGGAGTGCAGCAGAGATGAAGGGACCCCCAGAATCAAGCCATCAGAAAAGCACTTGAAGCAGCTAGGCAGGCTGAACTCGGACAGAGCCAGTCAAGGACAGGATGACTGAACACCTAAGAGGCTCATACAGAAGCAGACTTGGCTAGCAGAGCTCAGGAAAACAAAAAATTATGGGGAGGCAGCTTTTCAGCTCTCCGTTATGACATTTAAAAAAGTGGAATAGATTGCTTTTGTAAGTTACTGCAAGTGCTCAAAGTAAAAAAAACCCAAACAAACAGGAAATTCTTTTTTTTTTTTTGAACAGCAGAGCAAGGCTTCAAACAGGAAATTCTTAACAGGTCTCCCCCAGCAGAGTAAAGGCGTCACAAACGCCAGCACACTGCCTTCTGCTATTCTGTTCTTCACTATAAACTCATCAAGCAGCAGCCTGATGGAGGGAAATTAAGATACTCTTAAAATCAAAAGCCTGGGATTATTTTATTACTGCTAAGTTTAGGTTTACCAAGAGTAACTGAATTTCCTGTGTTCCATGGAGGGAACTGTACCAAAACAAAGGATCCTTCTTGGTCAAAATTGTTAAAACATGTTTCTGTACCGTATTAGCTCTTTGTACCTTCCATATGCTAACACGAATGCTGATCATACAAGAGCAGAACACGTAGTGTCCGTCATCTCTCACACTTGTTTGGTAGTGGAAACCTGTTAACACTTATTTTAATACTGAAAAACACAATTTGGGAAATCCTGATCAAATCCTGGGAGTTCCGACCTTTACTCACAATTTAACGATTCCTTCATGTACATTTACCACTGATGGCTTTCTAAGCCTTACCAACTTTTAGGGCACTGATTCTTAACCTATTTTGTCCAAGACCCCTTTGAAAATCCAACGACCTTTCCTCCAGAAAAAAAAAAAAATGCAGAAATGCCAAAAAACTTTGCATGTGATTTCCAAGTTCACAAATCCCCATAAATTTCATTTGTGGACTGCCCCCCTCCAACCCTGAAAATTTTTCAAAAAAGGGGATTCAGTTTCTCTTCTCTCTTTAAAGTTATGAAGAAAATAAAAACTTTAAAAATGGCAAATACTTATGGTAATATATCAGATATAAAATCACTCTTGCATGGTATCTTTGAGCAGAGGTGACAGAGAAGCTGGAAAAGCAAACTCTGAAAATACAATATTACGAACAGCTATAGGATTCCTATCCCCCAAAGAGAAAATCCCAGGTAGCTCAGAATATTCCACCCTAATTAAATTTTAAATACATAAAACAACAACCAACTCAAAAGTTTTACCAGCTCAAGTCTTACATTACGATGCCTGTTCCCAATACACATTTGTCCTTCAGAATCCTTCAAATTAAAAGTTTGTTCAATCCTATCTTCATAAATCTGTAAATTTCCAGCTGAGGGAGTTATACAGTACATTACAATTTTCTTTCCACTCAGAGCCTTTCTTCCTAGTTACTTCAGTATTAAATTGTACAGCAATTTGAAAAAAGATAATGAAACCATAGGTTAAGAATTTTTGAATCATGACAGGCCACAGTAAAGGAGCACATCATTTCAAACTCTTTAAATTTTTTATTTAAAAAGTATAAGAGAAATGTAATATACGCAGGGACTTTGAGCTACAAAGGGGACTTGAACACTTTGCATTAAATGAAAGACAGAAAATAATGGTCCTCTGAAACTTACGTTTTGCTTCTGAAAGAGTCTGACTAGGTGACCAGACCAGCATGCCAAGACTGTCCCGCTCTTGACTGCGTCTTGCTAGTTTGGCTTGGTAGAAATAAAAAAAGAGAATTCTTATTATAATTTAACAGACACAACAAGCAATGATTAACACCGCCACTCCGGTCTTTTAAACCTCAGAACGTGATGACGTCACCCGCCATTGACCGAGATCTGCCCCAACAGGACCTGCACTCACCATCACAGGGTGCGGTGCATGTGGAGGCAGCTCTCTGACACCGGCCAAAACATTCCTGCTTTTTCTACTTTACTTTTACTTATTTAACAAACAGGTACATTTGAAGTAAGTATAATTATTACTCTCATTTGCTAAGCGAGGAAACTGACGAGGCCCTTCAGCCGGCAGGAGGCAGTCAGGACTGCACGCAGGCAGCATGGCTAAGGCCCTGGGCACTGTGTACTGTGAAGCTCTGCTTCCAGATACGGGGAACCTGAAGGGGAAGTCACATGCGGCACGTTGCCCAAAGTTTCTTTAAAAATATGAATTCTTCATTGGCGTTTTGAACACCCTTACTCTGCTCTGTCAGAGTAACTTTGTAGTGACTTGACAATGCAAAGATTCTTTTAACAACTTTATTAAAGAATAACCATTAAAAAGGTTTAACCTGGAAAGAAACTTGTTAAGTGCACTCAAATCTTTTTTAAAACATATGATACAAAACAGTACGCCAAAAAGTTTACAAGTGCCAGGTTATTAATGAGTCGCCATGTGCGACTGGATTAACAGTAACACAAGTAACAGTCACATATTACAACAGATACTATAAAATGTTACCTTCAAACGGAACAAAGGACTCAGGAGACAAGAGGCTCACTGACCAGTCTAGATTTATACTGGGTTAGACCCAAGCTCATTCATTCCAAGATATTCTTACCTTTTTCTTTCTTTAAATAAATTCCTCTGAAAATATGATAAAAGTTATAGACTCCAGAAAATTTCGACTTAAATTCTTCAAGGACAACACCCTTAAAGGAAATTTGTAAGACCTGGTTTAAGAAGTCCTGCTTTTTATGAAACTGCCAGATCTCTTATCTTTTACTTAATTTTTCTCATCAATGTGTCCTAGGTTTAACAAAGAATGAATCTCTACACTTTTGGTAAAATCTATTGGGTAGCTACTTTAAATAAAGAAAAATGATGGAATGGTGGGACGGAAAGACCCAAAGTGTGAACACGATGAATCAGGTAAGATGAAAGGAATATATGAGGTGGAACAGGGTATAAAGAATGGGAAGACAGGAATATGACAAAGTAGATGTGAGTACACCTTTAAGTATCCCTTTTTATGTAGCTCTGACTTCCAAAACAGTGCTAATGCTACACATAATCTAAAATGAAAAAGTCAACAAATATGTGTAGGGAGAGACCCCGACATGGAATAAAGTCTTGTTGTATTTCAAAAAAAAAAATCAAAGTCAAAACAGAAATTAAAGGAATCTACACTGAAAAGGTAGAATTAAAACTGTCTTTATTCACAGATGATATGACCATCTGTGTAAAAAATCTACAGAATCTACTGGAAACAAAATCAATAGTAAAAACCAAATCGAATAATCTACATACCAGTAATTAATCAAAAATTGAAATTAAATATCCCCTTTTAATACAGCAACAAATATAAAATACTTAGGGATCTAGTAAAATGTATACACTGAAAACTCTAAAACATTTCTGAGAAAAAATAAATAAGATCTAAGTAAATGGATATACCTGTATATGGATCAAAACACTCAATTATATTAAGATAGCATTCTCTCCAAATTGCTCTACAAATATAACACAATCCCAAAATCCCAGTATGCTTTTTTGTAGGAATTGACATATACATTCTAAAATTCATACAAGAATGCAAAGTACCTAAAATAACCAAAACAACTTTGAAAAAGAGTAAAATTAGAAGACTTATTCTACCTGAATCGAAACTAATTACAAAGATTCAGTAACCAAGACAGTGTGGTATTGGCATACAGAGAAATAAACGTAATGGAATGGAATCTAGAAACAGAATCACACATATAAAAAAATCAACTGATTTTCCCACAAAGGTGCAATAGCAAAATTCAATGGACAAAATTAATCTTTTCAGCAAACAATGCTGGAACAAATGAATATTCATATAAAAAATTCTTTTTCACTTGGATCCATACCTCATACCACATATAAAAATTAATGTTTTCCTTTAAAGAAAAACATTAAGGAAATTAATTAAAAACCTGTGGAAAAATGTTTCATAATGACAATTTTATCTTCTATTTTGCTCTTTTCCTAAAAAACAGGAAAGCCTGCACCTACTACTCACAAAAAGTAAACTAAATACATCTTCAGAATTTAAGAACTCAGCTCACAGGAACATACACTATAATGTAAATATAAATAAAGTAAAGTAAAATTAAGAAAGTAAAATCACTTTACTAATTGCCTACTGCTGACCCGGAAGCCTTCCCAATATCATAAACTATTGATTAACATATATTCTATATGTTATATATACTGTATTCTTAAAATAAAGCTAGAGAAAATAATCTTTTTCAAACTGCCATACAAATCTTCAAAACATTTTCCAATATATTTATTGAAAAAATCCACATATAAGTGGACCTTTGCAACTCAAACCTGTGTTGTTCATGGGTCAGCTGTATATTCATACAAAGGGATGCTACACAGAAATTAAAAGGAACGAATTGCTGATACAAGCAACAATATGGGTTAATATCAAAAACAAAAGAAAATAAAGAGCAAAAATACCCCAGATACGAATGTGTACCTATTGCATGATTCTATTAATATGAAGTCCAAGAACAGTAAAACCTATTATGTGGTGGCAGAACTCAGAGTGGATGGGAGATAAGGGGTGGTAATCGGAAAGGGGTACCAGAGAACTATCTGAGGCGACTGGAATGCTCTTTCCCTGAGGAGACAGATACACAGCTGTGTACTACTATCAAAGCTCACTTAACACACAAGATCTGTGCATTTTATTGTATGTCAATTATACCTAAAAAAGACCTTTAGTAAATAGTCGCTTTAAAAAAAAAATCACCCACAAATAAATGACAGACAATACAATTCCCAATATCAACAGAATACAGAGATAGTGGAATATCTTTAAACTGCTGAGAGGAAACCTTAGAATGTATCTTGCAAAATTCTTAGGGACACAGACAAAATAAAAATGTCTTCACATGAAAACTTTGGGAGACTTTGTGTACAATAAAGAATTTTCTCAGGAAAAAAAATCCTGAAAGGAAGGTTGATATGCAAAAAAGAAGTGGTGAGTAAGCAAATTTTGTGAACACTGTCTTTAAAAAATAAAAATCATGTCCAATTTAAGAAATTCAGGAACAGCACTAAAATTCTGAACAACAGCAACATGTAATACCAGAGGAGTAGATCACAGCTAAACTATTCTAAAGATGAAAGGTTAACTTTAGATGTTAAATTAAGTGTGTACAGTTAACATTTTAAGAATGGCTATTAAAAAACTAGTATATATAAACTCCTAAACAAGTAGAAAGCAGAAAAATGAAAGCCTCTACAACAAAACCACAACAAAAAAACTTATGCATGGGACAAAAAGAACTATTAGTAAAATGACACAACAATTATAATTTTACACGTCCCTAAATAAAGAAGTCTCAAAATAACATGGCAGAAAATTGATGGAAGCTGACAAATATATCAACATACTGGGAGATTAATACACCTCTCTCTCTGTTAACAGTGCAAACAAAGATTAAAAGATATACAAGATCTAAACACAGTCAACAACCAGTCTTCTCTTTATGAGGTCACATAACAACCAGGTTTCTCTGTAACAAACAGGCTTCTCTGTCAGACATCACCTAACAAGACTTCTCTGTGACAAGTCATCTAACAACAAGACTTCCACTCAAACAAGGCCATAAAGCAACTCTAAACACATTTCAAAGAATAGGTAGCATATAGATTATACTTTCTAACCAAAATGCAATTAAAAGCCAATAATTAAAAGATAAATAAAAAATCTTCATACATTCAAAATTTGATAAAATACTCTTAAATAATCCTGGCTCAAGGAAGAAATCTTGACCTAAAAATTAAAATTACTTAAAACTGAACAATAGAAGACTACAAACTTACGGAAACAATGGAAGAGGTAGCTTACCCAAAAATTTACAGATATAAATGCTTACAATAGAGAAAATTACTTCACTAAGCATCCAACTTAAGAACATGGAAAGAACAACAGAATAAATCCAACAAAGGCAGAAAGAAGGCATTGAAGAACAGAAATTAATGAAACAGAAAACAAACAAATAGAGGGGGGCTAACAAAGACAAAGTTGGTCTATAGAAAAAGCTACTAGTTTATCTCTACTGAATTTGATAAAGAAAAATAAGAGAAGGTATAAATAATTTTAGGAATCAAAAATGTGGGTATAATTCCAGATCCAATAGAAACTGAAGATAAAATAGTACAAACAACATTATGCCAAAACTTGAGAATTTAGCAAAAAAGGTTGATTTTGAATGAGATCATATGTGCATTATGCCCTTTTTTTTTTGAGAGGGCATCTCTCGTATTTATTGATCAAATGGTTGTTAACAACAATAAAATTCTGTATAGGGGACTCAATGCACAATCATTAATCCACCCCAAGCCTAATTTTTGTCAGTCTCCAATCTTCTGAAGCATAACGAACAAGTTCTTACATGGTGAACGAATTCTTACACAGTGAATAAGTTCTTACATGGTGAACAGTACAACGGCAGTCATCACAGAAAGTTTTATGCCCTTTTTGCCTTGTTGCAGCAGTACTAGGAACAAGCGTTGGAATGGCACTGCTCAAACACTTCACATGTCCTACCCCGCTTGATCCTTACATGCACATAAACAGAGGCAAGTACCACCATCCCCACCTAATGTGTAAAGAGACGGGCACAGAAAAGTGCAATAACTTGCATAAAGACATTGCATCTCACAAGCAAGGTAAATTAGACTATTCTGTACGTGCTCAAGGTGGGTGTCTATGTGGGAAGAGCCTCAT